ATGGGCCAAGCTTTACCCCAAATGGGGTAAAAGAAAATACGATTGTGGCCGTACCTGGTTAGTACTTGGATGGGAGACCGCCTGGGAATACCAGGTGCTGTAAACTCAAATTATTATTATTATTTACATTACTATGGCCAAGATCTACCCTGTTTCCCAATGTCATTTGCATCACCCCAATAGCTTTTCGGTTGCTGTTTTTTTGTTTTATCCAAGGCCACCTACCGTCATGTATGAATACATTTCATGTATGTGGTCCCGGGAATCGAACCCACTATCCTGGTGTTGCAAACACCATGCTCTATCAACTAAACTACAGAGGATCAAGTCAGGTGGAGTCCTGCTTGAGAGGAGTCTGTCTGTGTGGCAGATGGATACCATAGCATGCCATTGCCAAGCAGTGAGTTTGTACATATTAGGCTAATTTATAGTCCCCATTACAACAGCAGTGGAATGGCCTGTAGTTTGAGAACAGGGTGTAGCTGGCCACCACTGCAGATCGAACCAAGAAAAAACTGTGGAATGCTCATTGTGTGTGTCTTGGCTGAGTGAGTGTTGTGGTGTGGTGGAAGACTTATATTAAGGCTAGAGGAAAGTGTATGCTCCTTGGGACTACACAGAGAAAACCAGACCAAAGAGGGAACGCCTGCCCAGTGCGGTCAGGTTGCATTTAAACCACTAATGTCTCAGTCAGCTCAACCATAGAGAGGGATAGGAATGCTCCATAATGCTTCATCAAAACAATCATGAAATATGTTACTGCTGTGTTTCCCATGTCCAAAGGAGGCCCTAGTTATGTCAAGGGTGCTCTTGTGACATAGAGAATTGGGAGGCTTGAACTCGGCTCCACTCTAGCGCACTAACCGGTCCATCCAACCAGGATATTTTCATTGCCTTTGGCAGAAGGCTACAGTAATCCCTCGGCACTCAAAAGAACAGATGATAGGTCCTATAACAATAGAGGTTGTTGATTTATGAAGACATGTAAAGTGGGTGTTGACCTCTTCTCTTATGTACCTTTCCTTGCTCGACTGCCACTGTTTGACAGATGTGTCAAGCATGCAACAATCAAGCTTGAGGTTGAGACAAATATGTGTCAATATCTTTATTAACAAAGGTTTGCAAAGTGAATGTAAAATATGTATTGGTCATATGTCATTCATGTTCAAGCAGAATATGTACATTTATTTGAATTACAAAACAAAATATAATGTAGCACCTTTTTGTACATTATTTAGCACCATAAGGAGACAGACAATCAAGTAACTTGAACAGCCAAACAGTTCTGAATTCTAAATAAAAAGTTATCCCCTGAATGGCCAGCTTCCCAAAGCTAACTTCCCATCAACTCATTCCCCATTCAACAACATCCAACAGAGTGCTGTGTGAAGAGGTTTGAACTTGACTGAAGGATGCCACCTATTGTTAAAAGCATTGACCTGCATGGTTAGGAATTGGTTTATGAGGGCCACAGTACTGTAGGTACATACAAGGGTTTTGGATAGCTTGCACTCTGCCATTCCATTGAAAAGCAACTGTCTGTCACACCATTAAACACATATAGAATTCTATTTGCAATTCAGTTCCAAATATAAAATCCTTGCTTAGTCCTTCATTCACTCTCTGTATTTTCGCAAGTAATCAACCCTTTGATCAACAGTTTATATTTGTTTTATCTCTGGACTCCCTTCTGCATGTGATATGAGTGTTGAGCTCTGTCTGGATGACTGACTAGAGGAAAGTCACCTGCACCTCTGACATCCTGTTTTGAATCTTTACAACAACAAAAAATCCCTTTTGCATACCTGTAAAGCCCGTCTCTGACTCTCACACAGACATTCATAAACCTGCAATAATGCCACACATTTGCAAGCAATTGCAGTGTGATTTTAAAAATGATTGAAGGATGTTTAGCACCATGTATTATGTAGGGTTTTTCAGCATAAGGCTACTCCTGGCAACTGGATTTGTGTTGACTTTAGCCTTTTGAAATGCTCTATTTCCTGAAGCAATGTTACTGTTGGAGTTTTACTGGGTTTCACTCCATTACATTTCAGAGTACCTGGCAAAATAGTATCACACAAGGAACCTCTGATATTTCCGTACAAATTTAAATTCCCTGATGTGCAAGGTGTCAAATCTCACAAGACTTGTCTCAGCTGCTGTCATTGAAGGAAATACTGCCAAGAGAACTGTTCATAAAAAAATTATATTTGTGACTTTTGGAATCAATCAATTCTTTGTGTTATTGAATACTTGATCCATGTCAACCCTGTTTGAATGGTGCAATGGTACCCTATTCCAGCTGGCACTGTTAGTCTCCCACATCAGGTTGTGACTAGAGAACAGCAAATAGAAACAGCACCAAACTGTAAATAAAATGTCTGTATCCTGTTACCAAGGGATCCCTGTTGAGATCGAACTATCCTCATATTATTCTTATTTATTCAAATTCGCAAGCCCACTGTAATAACTACTGTAGTCTTTTTCATTTATACAACCGTGCAACTGATATCAAGCTGGAAAATATCAGAATCTTATGAACAGCTTTACCAGACCAAATTGATCAAGAGCTCAGAAACTGAACACTAAAAAACTAGCATACACACTAGACTAGTGTCCAGAAAAAACATCTGAGACAAAGGACAGTATTAGGGCAGAGCATAGTTTGGGAAGACAACCAGGCTTTCTTGAATCACTAATGGTTTCAAAGCACTTCAACCTGTGTGTCTGTTCATGTGACAACTCCTAATGAAGCTAACAACCAATAGTGAAATCCATTACTGCCAGATGTTTATAAAGGGGTTTGTGTCTTTAAGAGGACAATTCTTTCCTTGTGTCATAGGAATAGCTTTTCCCTCCCCGCCTCCTTGTCAGCATATACAGTACCAGTCAAACGTTTGGACACACCTACTCATTCAAGGGTTTTTCTTTATTTGTACTATTTTCTACATTGTAGAATAATAGTGAAGACATCAAAACTATGAAATAACACATACGGAATCATGTAGTAACCAAAAAAGTGTTAAACAAATCAAAATATACATTTACATTTACATTTTAGTCATTTAGCAGACGCTCTTATCCAGAGCGACTTACAGTTAGTGAATACATATTTTTTTTTATACTGGCCCCCCGTGGGAATCAAACCCACAACCCTGGCGTTGCAAACGCCATGCTCTATCAACTGAGCTACATCCCTGCCGGCCATTCCCTCCCCTACCCTGGACATATTTGAGATTTGAGATTCTTCAAATAGCCACCCTTTGCCTTTATGACAGATTTGGCATTCTCTCAACCAGCTTCACCTGGAATGCTTTTCCAACAGTCTTGAAGGAGTTCCCACATATGCTGAGCACTTGTTGGCTGCTTTTCCTTCACTCTACCGTCCGACTCAACCCAAACCATCTCAATTGGGTTGAGGTTGGGGGATTGTGGAGGCCAGGTCATCTAATGCAGCACTCCATCACTCTCCTTCTTGGTAAAATAGCCCTTACACAGCCTGGATGTGTGTTGGGTCAATGTCCTGTTGAAAAACAAATGAAAGTTCCACTAAGCCCAAACCAGATGGGATGGCGTATCGCTGAAGAATGCTGTGGTAGCCATGCTGGTTAAGTGTGTCACCAGCAAAGCACCCCCACACCATAACACCTCCTCCTCCATGCTTTACGGTGGGAACTACACATGCAGAGATCATCCGTTCACCCACACCGCGTCTCACAAAGAGACGGCGGTTGGAACCAAAAATCTCAAATTTGGACTCCAGACCAAAGGACAAATTTCCACCGGTCTAATGTCCATTGCTCGTGTTTCTTGGCCCAAGCAGGTCTCTTCTTCTTATTGGTGTCCTTTAGTAGTGGTTTCTTTGCAGCAATTCAACCATGAAGGCCTGATTCACACAGTCCCCTATGAAAAGTTGATGTTGAGATATGTCTGTGACTTGAACTCTGTGAAGCATTTATTTGGGCTGCAATTTCTGAGGCTGTTAACTCTAATGAACTTATCCTCTGCAGCAGAGGTATCTCTGGGACTTCCATTCCTGTGGTGGTCCTCATGACAGCCAGTTTCATCATAGCGCTTGATGTTTTTTGCGACTGCACTTGAAGAAACTTTCAAAATTCTTGAGATTTTCCAGACTGAGTTTCTGTTTTGACTGTCCTTCATGTCTTAAAGTAATGATGGACTGTCATTTATCTTTGCTTATTTGAGCTGTTCTTGCCATAATATGGACTTTGTCTTTTACCAAATAGGGCTATCTTCTGTATACCCCCCCACCCTGTCACAACACAACTGATTAGCTCAAACGCATTAAGAAGGAAAGAAATTCCACAAATTAACTTTTAAGAAGGCACAACTGTTAACTGAAATGCATTCCAGGTGACTACCTCATGAAGCTGGTTAAGAGCATGCCAACAGTGTGCAAAGCTGTCATCAAGGCAAAGGGTGGCTATTTGAATAATCTCAAATATAAAATATATTTTGATTTGTTTAACACTTTTTTGGTTACTACATGATTCCATATGTGTTATTTCATAGTTTTGATGTCTTCACTATTATTCTACAATGTAGAAAATAGTAAAAAATAAAGAAAAACTTTTGACTGGTACTGTACATCTAATAATATTGCTTTTTTCAATACAGGGGAGAAGGAATCTATGGACATGGAGTCATTACCTTACAAGCCCCAAGTATCCCATTGCAGCGTATAGAGGCACTTAAAAGTGGGTGTGTGCGTCAATGAAAACCCTGTGTAAAGAGGCCCCTCTTTCAATCGGAACCTCCTGCACTCTGAACTCTGACCTCTAGCCCCCTCCCCTCAGGTCAGTTGGGGACCATGTTCATTAGGGCACACCGTTTTAAACACATTTTAAACATTTTGAAACGAAAAACGAAAACAAGCGTTTCTTCCTGGACAAGTTCCGATAGTACCTCCCAGTTTGACTCTGTTTAGAGCATTTTCTTCAGTTTTGTGCCTACTGAACACGACCCAGCAGGTCATCTCACTCCAGGGTGGGCTTGATGAGGTATCCGTTGAAGGTGATGTAAACATCCACATTGTCACTATACACAGCGTTCTCCCTCTCCCTCTTGTACAGCCGGACCCACACCTCATCATTGAGCTCAAGGGGCAACATAAGGCTCTGGCTCTGCATGATGGACCTTTCGCTGGGCTGGGCGTACACGATGGCCTGCTCCTTGTCATTCCTCATGATGTGCAGGTAGGTCTCCTTAAAGTTCCAGGTGTGGATGTTGACGTTGAAGAAGTAGATCCCAGGGACGTAGCAGTAGAACTTTCCTTTGAACATGTCGAAGTGGCCGTGGAGGTTGACGAACTCTGTGTCGAACACAAGGGCCTGGTAGTAGTCCACGCTGTGGAGGGACTTGCGACGCCCCACCGAGAAGGCTGCGTCCTGGGTCTTGCAGGGGTCCCCTGGGGGGCCTGCCTGGCCCTTGGTTCCTTTGGGGCCCATTGGCCCTCGGGATCCAGGAGCGCCTTCCTCACCAGACTTCCCAGGTGTCCCCCTGTCCCCGCGGTTTCCCTTGTCCCCTGTGAGGCAAGATGGAAAATATACAGCACGAGTCATTGGAGAGCTATGACACAGTAATGTAGACTAAAGGTCCAAATGGGGTAATGTTGAGATTAAAGTTAGTATAACATGGATCATGGAAGACTTTGTGTAGACAGATTGTTTATGATTTTCTCCAGATTTTCTCGAGTCCAGATAGGAACGTTACGTAAACTTGGAGTCACTCCAGAGTTCTCATAATTGTAGCCCATTCAGTATATGAGAATTTAGGGTTCTGGAATTCTGCTTATCTTCAACAGGATATTTCTTTCTGTTGCTTTATTTTTGGAAAGCCACTGCATGGAAAGCAAGAGTCAGGTCACGCTCTCTGGTGAGCACACAAACACGCACGCACGCACACACACAAACTGTTACGTTATTGGTAATGTATTCTGCCACATAAGCAAGTTCAATGCCAGGTTAATGTTCTGAAATAGCAGCAGACTTTTTAGCCTCCAGTCCATAGACTTTAAAGGCATTCAATGAAAAGGTCAGTTTGAAACCCAACAACCTCATTAAGTCCAGGGGCAGCCCTTCTCCTCTGGTGAATCACATGAACACCGAGCCAATCTTAATGTCTAGAATCCTACCAAGTCTCTTAAATGTGTCAAACGCGAGCAGGGCCTAACTCTATAGGTATTTAGAAGTCCAATTGAGTAGAGCCTTGGATTGGAATACACATACTCATAATCCAATCAAATGGAATTCAGTCAGTGTGTACAATATAGCCTGGTCCCAGATCTCTTTGTGCTGTTTTGCCAATTGTTTTGTCTTTGGCATGACAACCACCATAGGAGTTGGCAAAACACCACAAAGAGACCTGGGATCAAGCTATGTTTATTGCAGGTGTAAAGGCACAATCCAGGCGCACCTTTGAGGATGGTCATGTTGATGAAGGTGCGGACTTCAGGCATCTGGTTCAGGCCACTCTTTTGGTCCCCCGTCTGAGCGGCTGGGGGGCCCTCCTGTGGCTCCAGGTCGTCACAGCAGCGGCGGCAGGGGGCAGGAGAGGCACTTCCGGGGGGCTCGGACAGGGATGACCAGGGGGAGGAACAGGAGGACGGGGCACAGGAGGTGGAGGCGGTCAAACATGGCTGCTGCACCTGAGAGGACAAGGATGGTCAACAGACAGATTAGACACAACCTTTGACCTTTTGACCCTTAAAGGGATAGTTCACCCAAATTACATATTGGCTTCCTAGTAAGTGCTGTAAATCTTTGGACAATGAGAGTGTATTATTTGAGTGTATTAAATCCAAGACATTGACAGTGATGTTTGTTATTATGAACATGAAGGTACAGTTGTAATTTGGTCCTGCTGACAGGATAAATAAAGCATTCATAGTGGAGAGAAATGTCATGTAATTCCAGCATCATATCAGTTTCTACATTGTTGTCTATTACATGACTCAAATAGTAAGGGCTCGATTCAATCCGTAGCGCTGAAGAGCTGCGCTACAGTGCAATAGAAATGCAATGTTCCCACGTTAGCAGAGACTGCATTCATGGTAAACGCTGCATATTGTACTGTAGGCTCAATCGGAAATTACCTTTAAATGTAAATCATGCTATAGTGCTGAACTTCGGCGATACAGATTAAATCGAGCCCTAAGAAAAAACAAGTATGACAAAGAGGTATTCATGTTATACCATGAGTAGGGTACATGATACTATAATGCACCTGTTCCCAAGCTAGAGGTCGCGACCCCATGTGGGTTCACCTGGCATGAAAATAGGGCCAAGGAGAAATTTCCAAAATTCTGGTTTAAAAAATGTTATACCAGTCAAAAGTTTGGACACACCTACTCATTCAAGGGTTTTTCTTTATTTTTACTATTTTCTACATTGTATGAAATAACACATATGGAATCATGTAGTAAACAAAAACGTGTTAAACAAATCAAAATATATTTGAGATTTAAGATTCTTCAAATAGCCACCCTTTGCCTTTATGACAGCTTTGTACACTCTTGGCATTCTCTCAACCAGCTTCATGAGGTAGTCACCTGGAATGCATTTCAATTAACAGGTGTGCCTTGTTAAAAGTTAATTTGTGGAATTTATTTCCTAATTAAATGTGTTTGAGCCAATCAGTTGTGTTGTGACAAGGTAGAGGGGTATATAGAAGATAGCCCTATTTGGTAAAAGACCAAGTCCATATTATGGCAAGAACAGCTCAAATAAGCAAAGAGAAATGACAGTCCATCATTACTTTAAGACATGAAGGACAGTCAAAACAGAAACTTGGAAACTTTCAAGTCACATCTCAACATCAACTGTTCAGAGGGGACTGTGTGAATCAGGCCTTCATTACATTTACGTCATTTAGCAGACGCTCTTATCTAGAGCGACTTACAGTTAGTGAGTGCATACATTTTCATACTGGCCCCCCGTGGGAAACGAACCCACAACCCTGGCGTTGCAAGCACCATGCTCTACCAACTGAGCTACACAGGGCTACTTCATGGTCGAATTGCTGCAAAGAAACCACTACTAAAGGACACCAATAAGAAGAAGAGACCTGCTTGGGCCAAGAAACACGAGCAATGGACATTAGACCGGTGGAAATGTGTCCTTTGTCTGGAGTCCAAATTTGAGATTTTTGGTTCCAACCGCCGTGTCTTTATGAGACGCGGTGTGGGTGAACGGATGATCTCCGCATGTGTAGTTCCCACCGTAAAGCATGGAGGAGGAGGTGTTATGGTGTGGGGGTGCTTTGCTGGTGACACTGTCAGTGATTTATTTAGAATTCAAGGCATACTTAACCAGCACGGCTACCACAGCATTCTGCAGCGATACGCCATCCCATCTAGTTTGGGCTTAGTGGGACTATCAACTGTTTTTACTGGCCGCAATTGTTATGGTGAAAACAATACCTTTGTCAGACAACTCTGTGAAACTAAGAATTGATGCTATAGCTAGCAATCAAGAGGAAACTGACTGAACGACTCAAAAACTCCCCACCTTATGCTCTCCAAATGGATGTTAGCTGTGAGGGCCGAGATGCCCATTCATTGACTTTTGTTCGCTACATGTCGGAGGATGCTATTCATGAGGACATATTGTTCTGTCTCACGATTCCCGAGCATGAAACGGCACAGGGGATGTTCAGTGTGCTGCGTGGCTATATTGACGAAAAACAGATTCCATGGGATCGAATGGTGGGATTTTGCACAGATGGGGCTCCATCTATCACGGGACGGCGGGCAGGCCTCTGCATTCTAATTATGAATGTTTCTCCCCCTGCATATGATACACCCACTGAGCTATAATGGATACACCGAGAGCAACTGGTGGCAAATGAGCTGAAACGCAGAACTCTGAGATATGCAGCAGGTAACTTCAATTGCAAACTACATCGCACGCCTGTTCGCAAAACTATGTGGAGATATGGGATCAGAGCATGGCAATGTTCTATTTCACACCGAGGCTTGGTGGTTATCGAGGGGGAGTGTTTTAGAATTGAGAGAGGAACTGTTGTCATTCGCAATGGATGTACACAAACAGACTTTGTTGACTTTCTGTGTATTGAAAATAAAATGTGTCTCCTTGCCTATGTAACAGACATATTTGGGGAACTGAACGCAAGCATGAAGGGGAAATACAAAACATTTCTACAGATGAGTGACCAAATCAGCTAAATCCGTTTGACTGTTACCCTGGCTCAGTTGACATGCCGGTAAGTGAAATCGAACAGCTGATCGAGCTGTCATGTGACCGAATGCTGAAGACAAGGAATTCACAGGTCACTATGGAGGAGATTTGGTTCACGACTCAAAGGGAATACTGTGCCGTCTCGCTCGGGGCATTAAAACTCATGGTATGCTGATTCAGTGCTCTCGCCTGTATTAAAAACGAATATCTATCCAGGTTGGATGTGACAGGAGAGATGAGGTGCGAACTGTCGACCATGCATCAAGCACACCCATCTCATTAGTGGTGGTGAGATAAGAGAAATTATGTCAGACTCATTTGCAATTGACTGTCATAGCCCCACATTAAAAGTATATGATGGTGAGTTGAGAATACAATCAGAAATACTGTTAGAATGTTTTAAAATTGACTGTCATAGCCACAATTAACAAAGTAAACATTGGCTGTTAATTACATAAAACTATTTCACACGAAAAAATAATCAGATATCAAAATGTGGTCATGGGTCCAGAAAGTTTGGGAACCCCCTGCTATAGTGGTTTAATGAATATCCACATGAATAAGATCGATAAAAAAACATCTACTGAAATATCAGAGTCTCTGCTTAGCAACTAAATTATTATGTGTCCCACTGCTGTTCCAGGATAGTGGGGAAAGAGTGGTTTGGATCCAGAGAAAACATAGAGTATATTTGCATAGAGGGGAGCAGGGAAGGTTTAGGAATGGTGAACACGAGCCAGCAATGAACTATCCACGAGACAGCAGTGCTGTTGTCTGGAGCTTCGATTCAAACCATGACCATCATTGGTCGTTTTCTATGATGCCAGCCCCATAGTCTCAGACAGTATAGCAATGCTATAGTTTATTCCATAATGTCCCTGAAATAAATGTCCATGATCTGCAGACATCTGAGTGATCTTGATGGTCTTTTTCTGGGATTGTCAAATCAAAATCAAATCAAAGTTGATTGTCATATGCACGGGAGACAGCATAGTACTCTGTACAATGAAATGCTTAATCTCCGCAAAAAATGTGAACCATGTAAACTTGTGAAGTGTACTGAGGTACAGTATCTTGATAGTGTTTTGATTGTACAGGCTAGCTATGGGCCAAATGTTTTGTTACTTCAGAAATAACTAAATTGATTTGATAATAAGGAGAGCTTTAAATCATTCAGCCTCTTTAGTTGACAGTTGTGCCACAGAGTTCAATTTTACAGTTTATAAGATGGACATTTGGATGCTATCCCAAATCGTACCCTATACCCTACATGGTGCAGTACTTTGGGCCCTGGTCAAAAAATGTGTGCTCTATGGGAAAAGGGTGCCATTTGGAATGCACACTTGGTAGATCTCTAGAGCAAACAGAGCGTAAAGGCTGACTTTATGAATCATGATTCAGCTAATCCAGCACACATTGTTTGAGTTAATATCCATAAACCACAGCAAAGCTGGCCTGCAGTCCTAGACCAAGGGGATGGTAACACAAGCATGGTTAACCAAGTTTGACTTGACGTGTAGTAGCAGTGGCATGGTACAGTCTGGGTTTAAAGCTATATGATCTGGTGGTGTGCTAGACTAGAGAACACGCTAATAAAGCCAGTGGAATGCTGCAGTAGACTAATCTGCATTAGATAAATCAAGTACAGTAGCATCTCGGCACAAGCTGCCCCATACGGAAAAGTAATGTGGCCATATATGTCCTTATATACACTACATTACCAAAGTATGTGGACACCTGTTTGATAAACATCTCATTCCAAAATCATGGGCATTAATATGAAGTTGGTCCCCCCTTTGCTGCTATAACAGCCTCCACTCTTCTGGGAAGGCTTTCCACTAGATGTTGGAACATTGCTGCAGGGACTTGCTTCCATTCAGCCACAAGAGCATTAGTGAGGTCGGGAACTGATGTTGGGCGATTAGGCCTGGCTCGCAGTCGGCGTTCCAATTCATCCCAAAGGTGTACGATGGGGTTGAGGTCAGGGTTCTGTGCAGGCCAGTCAAGTTCTTCCACACCGATCTCGACAAACCATTTCTGTATGGACCTCGCTTTGTGCACAGGGGGCATTGTCATGCTGATACAGGAAAGGGCCTTCCCCAAACTGTTGCCACAAAGTTGGAAGCACAGAATCGTCTAGAATGTAATTGTATGCTGTAGCGTTAAGATTTCCCTTCAATGAAACTAAGGAGCCTAGCCCGAACCTTGAAAAACAGTCCCAGAACATTATTACTCCTCCACCAATCTTTACAGTTGGCACTATGCATTGGGGTAGGAAGCGTTCACCTGGCATCCGCCAAGCCCAGATTCGTCCGTCGAACTGCCAGATGGTAAAGCATGATTCATCACTCCAGAGAACGCGTTTCTACTGCTCCAGAGTCCAATGGCGGCGAGCTATACACCACCCCAGCTGACGCTTGGCATTGCGCATGGTGATCTTAGGCTTTTG